TCCTCTCTCTGAAATCAATAAAGATATATTTAAAAAAAAAAAAAAAAAAGACATAATGCCAAATGGAGAACAATGATGAGCAATATGGTAGGGTACCATTTAGGAAAAACAAAACCTCCCAAAATTAGGTAGGCAAAGAGAAGTTCCCGATGGATACATAGCAAACTGATAAAGAAGTTACCTCTGGAGAGAGGAGTGAGACTGGGGCTGGTATGGTGCCAAGGGGGGGGGGGCACTTTAACTGTTTTGTGTGAAAAATTTTACACGATTATATAATGTTACTTAATAATCGACCAAATGAGATATGTGGACCTTGATTGAATGACTTTTCCTGGAACTATAAAAGTTACTTTGTAAATAACTGGGGAAGTTTGAACATGTATATTAGATGTTATATTATTGTGGTTATGTGGGATGTTCTTGTTTTCAGCTTGCTGAAGCATTTATGGGTAAAGTGTCAAGGAATCTTCAACTTTCAAATGGGAAGGAAAGAAAGGAAGGAAAGAAGAAAGAAGGAAGAAAAGCAGGAGAGAGGAAGAGAGGAAATGGGAATGTGAGGGGAGGGAAGAGGGAAAGAAAAGAATAAATGTCAAAGCAAAATGATAATATTAGTATGTTAACCATTGGTGAATCTAAGTGAAAGGTATATGGGTGTTGAATGTACTATTCTTCCAACTTTGCTGCAGGTCTGAAAATGAGAGAGAGAAAGAGAGGGAGGGAGAGAGAGAGTCACCACCATTCTAGCTGGAAGGAATCAATTTCTCCCTTGAATTCTTATGACACTTAGCAATGTCATGCATATTATTAGTGATCGCTCTCTCCAAATGTGTCTTATTCCCTACAAGCTCCTCAAAGGTAGAGGCATCTTTCAATTCTTTGTCCTGCTCTGCATGCCTAGCATGATGCCCAGCACGGAGGAGGCAGTGAAAAGAATGGGGTTGAGAAATGTGTCACGTTCACCAATGCGCTGGAAAATACAAAGTCAGGACTTGGAACTGCCCAATCAGTTCTGATGAGAAACATGACAGGTCTACCTCCTGGCTGCTCAGACTGACCCAGCAGGGAGTCACCCAGAGCTGGTGCCAGGTCTTTTTAGAAGGACTACTGAATGGGAGTACAGTCTGAGAATGTTGTCAGAAAATGCCTGATGGATTTCAGGTTAATACTTTGTAAACTACAAAGTGGTAGAAAAGTAAAGTGCCCAAATAACCCCTTCTCCTTTGTTCCTTACAATGACCCTAGGAGAGAAGTATTATCTCCATTTGACAGATGAGGAAACAGGCTCAGAAAAAGGAAGTGACTTCTGCTAGGTCACCAAGAGAGGAAATGGGCTCACTCCCATGTCTTCAAGTCTAAGGTTCTTTCTGCTAGACCATGCTGCCTTTTCTGGGGTGACTCCTAACCAGGAAGAGAAAGACACACTTACCTGATTCCAACTTGCTCTGGACTACATCTCCCCACACTGTGAGATCACCACAGGAAGCTTGGGCTTATTGTTGGGGCCTGTGGGAACATTCTAAGACAGAAAGCACAGTGAAGGTTCAGACACTCACCAAACATTTACTGATGTCTGCCAGCCCGTGCTAAGGACTGAGGGCTCAGAGACTGATATAACAACAGTCCATGCCCTAGCAGATAGGTAAAGCATATAATACAGATAAAAAATAAAATGTACATTTAAAATATATCACATCTATGATATATAACAATGTAATAAGTTATAAGAAAGTGTACACAGGGCAGAGGAAACAACTACACGTTGCTTAAAGAGGTTAGGGAAGGATTCACAAAACGGGATTATTTGAGCTGGACCAAGAAGGCTGAATGGGAAGGAGGAAAAGAAAGGAGAAGAGCATTCCAGGTCGAGGAAGCGGCATAAGCAAAGGCTCAGGGGCAAGAAGGAACAAGAGGCAGGGATGTGTATGGCACACTGAGAGAAAAGCTAGTAGCCTGATGTGACTGAAACATGGAGGCGGCGGTGGCAGAAGGGGCAGTGGAGAGGTAGGCAGGGACCAGATCAGGAAGGATTTTGAATGTAGTGCTGAGTAGGATTTTATCAAGTAGGTGAAGTGGCCATCACAGGCCAAAGCTCAGTGTGCACTACAGAGGCTAATTATAGGCCAAAACCACTTGGGAGGCATGTGGTCTCTCCTCCTCTCCCTTGAGGAAGTCCATGTAGTAGAGGCAATGCTTGAAGACTGGGCCTAACAAACTGAAGCCCACCCAAGATTCTCTAGCTCTCAACACTAGTCAGTAGTACCAGCCCAGAATGGCTGCGAAAGAGGAGATCAAAACTGGACTCACCTCGATCTTTCTCATCACTAGAAGTCCATCAATAATTTTTCCTGTAGGAAGAATATGAACTAGACTTTACTATTCTCATTTGCATAGCATTTTCCAGCTCCCAATGCCCATCCTCATACCTTATCTCATTTGATCCTCATGCCAATTTCAGGAAATTGAGATTCAATGGAGGTGAAGGTCACAAATAGTAAGTAGCAGAATTAGGGCTCAAACCTAGATCTGAGTGACTGCAAAGCCCCACTGCACCTCGCTGCCTGTGTGGTATTTCTTAAAGGCTACCATCCTGGTTTCCACCCCCTAGACATACGTATCACTGAAGTGGTTATACACTTTATCAGATGGCCTCTTTGTCCTTCCACACATCCTCCTCACCTCCCACCACTTCCTCCTCCTTCCGTACTACCCCACAGAGCAGTTAAACTAGTGGAGCCCTCTTGGTATGAGTGCCAGGACTGGCTCTTCCGGAAGTCCCACTTTGGGTGAATGGGCCCAGGACCATAGGACAGGAGTAGGACTCACCAAACACTACGTGCTTCCCATCCAGCCAGTCACACTTAGAGCAGGTGATGAAGAACTGGCAGCCGTTTGTACTGGGACCACTGTTTGCCTGATGGAAAAAAAAATAAACCTGCAGTGAGTTTTCCTGGTCATGCTAGCTGAAGGGCAAGATTTCCCAAAGAGCCTGTGGCCCTGATTCCTCCATGCTTTCTTTTAGCAAAACTGACTGAGCATTTATGAGCCAGGGCCTGAGCTAGGATACAGAGATGAACAGGACACACAATCTCTGCCCTCAAGGATCTGTGAATAAATGTACATTTCTCCTACAGTGTGAATTTTTATAATGGGAACAATTGTTTATGGGACCAGATTTGCTGTATGTAGTCCAATACTAGTTATAACTGAATTACAGTTACAAATTAGCTACCAGGTGAGGACAGGTCTGTTGCGTATGCCATAAGCTGTTTTGTGTGAATGGTTTTGTACTATAACAATGGTAATTAAAAAATTTAAGAAGGTGCAGTAAGTTGCTAGTGCTATGCTAGAAAAAAAGGTTGTATTTAATCAAAGATGCTTGCTTTTTACCAGTACACCTCAAATCCTTTATTATTGAATTTTGCAAAAAAAGTATTTTTAAAAATTGATAATCTGAAACCCTCTAGCCATATGCCTTCCATTTTCCTCCCTTAAAATTGTTTTTACATCATTATATTTAATAACACATTATAAAAGGACAGGCTATAATTACAATGCAGAGTGATACTTTGCAAAGAGACATCTGACTTTCATATGAAGTGTACTTTTGTCTATTATACATTGATCCCCCTAAACTGCCTTTAATGTGCTCAATTCAGACTTTTGTATATCAGCAAACCCAAGTGAAATTTCAGCAGCACTGTCTTACAACAATGTCTGTGTAACTATGATTATGGCATACTTCCCTTATTTGGGATAAAATGAATAGAAAATGGAAAACTGAAAGTACTAGTACTATTAAAAGCACAGGTCTCATAAAACTATTACTGCGCAAAACTGGATATTATTAGATTGATAACTAGCCTTAATCAGATATTAGATTTAAATTGGTTGATTCTGTGTTCAACTGTGAAGGAATCAAAATGTTTATGAAATACTAAAAATATATTAAAGACACTGTCTAAGGGTAAGGGATTTCATATTATACTTCAGAAATTCCCCTGTAAGGTGAGGCTATTTTTGTTTTTTTGTACATGTATTCAGGAACATCTCATACCTAAAAGTGAGGCACTGTCTGGGACAAGGATAGGCATCCCAAGGGGTCCCAATTCATTCATTCTATCATCTATCTATCTATCTATTTTGCTGCTCTATATCTAAACATTTATTAGCAAGCAGGCAGGAAAACAGTCATACATGTTTTTATAGCTCAGGGTTACACTCTCTGCCCTTAGCCACTTTTTTATTCATTCTTCAAGGCAGTATAACTTACTGGTTTAGAGAATCAACTCTGGAGCTCTGGAGCCAGATGACCTAGCTTGAATCCCAGCTATACCACTGACTGTGTGACCTTAGTTTAGTCACATAACCTTTCTGTGAAAGTTTCCTTATTTGAAGCTATCTTAAAAGACGTTGAGAAGATTAAAATAAATTAATGCAAATAAGATGCTTGTTGAATGAGTGCTCAATAAACGTTAGCCATTATTCTGATTATCTTCCACTCATTCATCAGTATCTGCTCAACACCTTTCTATATCAGGTATAAGGTTTAGAGATCAATGAGACACAGTCCCTGCCCTTGAGGAACTCATGATTTAGTGGAGACTAGAGGTAAAAACAATTATGCTACAAGATATGCGGTATAAGCCTGAACGGCGCAGAGACCAAGGCTTCCTTCCATTTTCCCGACTCCTCCATAGATGCTAACATAGCGGCATGAACTTTGAGGGGTTCTAATCCTGGTGAAGATCCAAGCCAACCTAAGTCACGTCTCCATCCTTTACCTGCACTTGCCCAGTCTGGCTTTCCTAAAAGGGGGCTTATACACTGTTTGCTGGACTAGTCTCACTCAATTATTATGGCAGCCTCCTAACTGGCTTCTCTTCCCCAGCCTATCCATTCCCACCTGCCACTCACACTGCATCTAGTGTTCTTGTTCTAATACACAAACTTGATCAACTCTCCTCAAAAAAGTGTATGGCTTTCCATAACCTATGAAAGAAAGTCCACACACCTCATCCTTATTCTGCCATTTAAAGCCTGACAGAAGCCAGATAACCTGCCTCTGCAGTGGTCTCTACTGGCCACTCCGTCTGCCAATTGCATCCTATGTTCTCAGCGCCTTCCTCACGTCCCGTCCCTTGACTATGTCTCGCACCATCTGGTACAGAACTCTTCCAAGAACTCAAATGTCCTCTCCTTTGTGAAGCATCCTTGCCCAACCCCAGGAGCAATTATTCTCATTCCTCGGAGCCCTCACAGGATTTTTACATGTAATAGGTGCCCTTACCTTAACATATTGACGGCATTGATTACACTAGACTAGACTTACTATTTTGCATGTGCATGAATTCCCCATTAGATGTTAAGTGACGCAGGGATCAGGTCTTATGCCTTACCATGAAGCCCGAAACAGAGTGAATATCGACAAATCTTTACTTGATAAATGCCTGAGAAGATGAGGGGTAGAGTGGGCAAGCAGGACAGAGAATGTGAATGTAAATATTAGGTCTGGGGGAGTGGGAGTGAGAGTTGGGGCACTGATAGAGGGAAATGGGAGATGAGCAGGAGGGAGGGAGAAGGTGGGAGAGTGAGAAAGAAGCACGGTGGGAGGGGAAAGAGAAAAGGAGGAGTGAGGAGTGAATAAGGGGAAGTGATGGAGAATGAGCAGGAAGGCAAGTGAGCAGCCGAAGGACAGATGAGGGGTTTTAAGTGAGGTGGGCAGGGGGACTGTGAAAGAGGAGTGAAGTGTGAGAGGGTGATGTAAGTGGGGAGGGCGTGCGAGGATAAGGGAGTAGGAGTGGTGAGCAAGAAGTGGTAAGTGAACAAAAGGGGGTGACCAGCAGTGTGAATGAATGGGTGCTGAGAAAGTCCTGAAGAGCCAAGCAATGAGCAAGTGAACACTGGATCTTGACAGCACAACTGGATGCATTCTGAGGAGCAAGGTTAAATGCCCAGCCACATGTCTTGGCTCAAACAAAAGGAAGAAAACACATAGCAGAGTTCAGTTTTAGTTCTCTAGCCTAACAAAATCAAACCAGACTGAGCAAAAAGGTGGGTGTGACAGAGGTGAGTCCCGGGCTGAGCAAGAGAAGAAAAGCATTTGCTTTTATCCAAAGAGACAGCATTGAGCCTCAAGAGGGGCCCACAAACCAGCTGGCTATACATCTAACTCAAAACCTTGATTGGACCTCACTTACCATAGACAGCAGGCCTGGAGCTGAGTGTCTAAGTTTAAAATTTTCATCTGCAAATGGCCCCCGGTATATACTGGCAACTCCAGTACCATCTCCCTGAGTATAGAGAAGGGCAGTGTTAGCAACTTGCAAGTGTTGGGCCCCCCAGAGGCTGGAAAAAGACAGCTGCTGCCCCTAGAGCCTAGCTTCCCTCCAGTCCACTCTTGTTGGTCACTTTGGGAACCACACCTCTTTGACCCTATCATGCAATCAAAGCAAGTCCCATGCAAGGCACCTGCAGCCCACATACTGGCCAGGTCTTCTCACAGACTGGGTAAAAGAGGTCACGACTGGGTCTCTAGAAAGACAGGTTAAGACCCAGGCAAAGTAGGGAACAGTACAGTAACATTCAAGGGCATTCCCATCCCCATCCCCTCCCCACATCAAGCCTGGCTATTGTTCTCAAGCCTTAAGCCTGGGTTCCTGCAGTAAAAATAGTAGCCACAGAAATAACCAAAAAAACAAGCTTGTAAGTCTTTGATGAGAAAGAACAGTACTTACGTTAACAAAATCTCCACCCTGAATCATGAAATCCTTTATGACCCTGAAACAGACAACAAAGGATTCTGAGATAAGGCTCTGGTTTAGAAAAACATTGATTTAGTCATTGTAGTTTAAATTAATCCATCCTTAAGTTCATAAAAAAATTCCTTCTGAAGATCTAAGAATTAGATGAGAAGTTAAGAAGTAGCCTTTTGGCTCCATCCTGGTGGCTCAATGGCTGAGCATCAACCTATAATCCAGGAGATAGCGGTTCGATTCCAGTTTGATTCCTGATCAGGGCACATGCCCAGGTAGTGGGCTCAGCCTCCAGTGGGCCCTGTGCAGGAGGCAGCCCAGCCCATTAATGACTCTCTCTCATCACTGATGTTTCTATCTCTCTCTCTCTAAAATCAATAAAGACATATTTAAAAGAAAAAAGAAGTAGCCTTTTGGTGGAGTAAGAGTAACTGTGTACAAAGTAGAGAAATAACCAATTACATGACCTTTATGTAATAAAAATTTGTTTAAAGTAAAAAAAAAAAAAAGAGCTAAGAATTAACCTGCGGCTTTATTTTTGTCTAAAGAGACTAATCCCCCAAAGAAGTAATTCTAAAAGCCCCCAGGACGGTGTGCCATGGCACTTACCTGTGGAAAGTGCTTCCTTTGTATCCTATAGGAACCCCATCTTTTCTATAACCGAAAAGAAAGAGATTTGGAATGACGACAGGTAACCATAGGCCTTTCCAGTTTACCACACATTCGAGCCAAAGGGACTCTCCTAGAGATGTCAGGACAAGAGAGATAAAGCAAATGAACTGAAGACAGACCCTTGGGGTACTACTTCCTATTACTGTTACCAGCAGTCATTCGAGGCCTATGTTGTTCCCCCATACCCACACTGCAGCCCAAAGACACCCCTTAGGAGTAAGCAGATAAGTCAACCACGTCTGAGACTGACCTGAATTCTCCGGTGCAGAACTGCCTGAAAGGGAAAAGAGGACTCATTCACCATGACATCACAGCTGTGAGTGTCCCTAACCTCTGGAAGGGAGAGCACAGACACTGTCCCCAGCAAGCCCACCAACCGGCCAGCCAGACGTCCAGACCCCCAAGCATGTAGATTAACAACATAAATTGAAATGGGACAGTTCAAGCGAGGGCTGTTCAGGCAGAGCGCCACCCTGAGGACTCAGATCTCAAGGGCAGTGAGCGGACGGAGAGAGGCAGGCTGACGATTCCGTAGGATGAATGCTGGTTCGGTTTATCCGGCAGAGCTGGGGCATATCCTTACCTAAAGTTCTCAGCAGTCTTAGGCACAACGTCTGCAAAGAGCTCGATCTTCATTCGGCCAACTTCCTGCAACCGGCGAAAGCCAGTCAGAAGGCCCAGTCCATGGCCTTGTAGGCCTCGCGGAGCAGGGACCGAGAGGGGCTGACCCCTCCCTCCCCCATGCACTCGATCTCTCCCACCTCCGCCTCCTTAGCCTACCCTTTCGTCCCGCTCAGACCTTCCACGCGCGGGGCGCTAGGATGAGCGCTAGGAGAGTCAAGACTCATCCTACCCTCGTCACCACGCCCCGCAGTTCGGTAGGTTCTGGTCCAAATTCACTTTCTGGCTTCCCGACCCCGCTGTCCCTGAGCAGGTGAGTTCTGCCTGCCTGGCCCGGTGCAGTTTCCTTTCCGCGAAGTGCTGGGTGGCCTCCTGGACCTCACCTGGCCGCCAATGCTGACATCAAAGAACACCACGGGGTTGACGGGGCTTGAATTTGCCACCGCCATGGCTCCGACCCGGAAGCAGAAGTCGGAGCACGGGCTTCCGGTGAACCTAATCCCAGCTCCGCGCGTTTGTGCTCCCGCGCAAGCGCGGGAAGAGCGG